AATCTCCTAACAAACTGCAACACCTGGTTTTCTGACCAGGCACACAAGGTCCTTCAAGAACTCTCTCTCCTGCCAGGGCTTCTCCTGTTCTCTACCTCACCCCACCTAAAATAAGCCATGGAAAACTATTTTCAGTTTTTGTAACACACCAACCTGTATAATCTCTCTGTCTTCACTATGCTGTTCTTTCTGCCCTTTCCACTTCACCATTTATTTGTTCCTCTAGTAAACCTCACCCTTCACAACCCAGATTGGGTATTTCTTTCTCTGAACCCTGCCCCACTCCCACACATCCACACACAAGAGTTAATTGTTCTTTCCTCTGAACTATTTGCTTCTTTCACATTATTATTTTTTCCATTACTGCTCACACTGTAGTACTGTGTTTTCTCGAAAATAAGACATCCTCTAAAAATAAGACCTACTTACAGGTTTCCTTCTGAGTGAAATATAAGGCATCCCCTGAAAATAAGCCGCACCCCCCAGGCTAAACATTAGAGAGTTGGTCCACTGATTCTGAAAGAAATGGAGTCACAAGAAATTCACCAGGAAATTCAGGAATTGGATTGTTATGATGATGTTCCAGAATATGATGACATGATTGTCATTGAATAAATGAGTAAATTCTTGATACTGTAGGATTCAGTTTGTCTGGTTTGTGTTGACAACTACTGTACTACCGTGCTGTATACAGGTAATAAATTTCCTTTATTTTCATTTAACAATAAATGTGTACCGTATTCTTCTTCATGGAAAAATAAGACATCCCCTGAAAATAAGACCTAGCGCATATTTGGGAGCAAAAATTAATATAAGACACTGTCTTATTTTCAGGGAAACAGGGTACAATGATCTGCTTGCATGTCTGTCAATTATACTAAACTGTGAGTTCCTTAAAATCAATAAGAGTATCTTAATTTTTCTGCCTGCATCACTTAGGAAGATCTCTGACACATAGTAGGCACTCAAATATTTAAATAAATTAATATAGAAAAGAGAAAAAGGAAGGAAGGAAGAAAGGAAGGGAGGGAGGAAGAAAGAAATGGAGGGAGGAAAAAAGTTGGCTGAGAATTTTTGTTGTGATAACTTAGAGAGAACTGAATCATCCAGCTCTGTTTTTCTAACTTTCCCTTAAGGTTTATTCCAACTCTGAGTGTTTGTGATTCTTAAAAAAATGCCAGCTGCTCAAGGCTAATTAGACTTATTTAAATGAAAATTAGTTTAAAATACCAGTCATCTTATAGTGAGTAAACTTTATCTCAAAGTAAAAAGAAATGTTATGATCTGTTAAAATCTTAAATGGTTGGATTACACCACTCAAAAGTTAGTAAGTGAAGATTCTAACATTTAGTACCAGCTTGAAAATAAATTGTACCCATCTTACACTCACTGTTTTAGAATAGAAGTAAATGTTGTGTGTGTGTGTTCATACTAGTATATGTGTGTGCATGTGCATACATACCTATGAGTAGTATGCCATGTATCCTCTGAATTGGGTTAGAAAAGCTTAACTCTATGATGAAAAAAGTAAAACCTATCCCTATGCCTTAACTAAATCCTCATAGTTACAGAATTGTGCAGCTCTCACTTATTAATACCATTACCTCATGACCCTCTACCTCAGACCCAGCAGGACACTAGGACAGTGCTAGTCTAATAGACAAACCAGGTGTGGTTTCCTGCTTCTCATTGGCATCTTGGTTAAGGTGTCTCAGAGCTCTGGAAGATCATTAGGGACAGCTCTCTGACTCTCACTTCAGTCACTGTTGTCATGGCCACCCCTAAACCAAGGAGCCACAAGAACAAGAAGCTACCTTATACCTTGCCCACATCTTCCACTCAAGTTCCTTTACTGTCTCCATCTACCACCTACTATCGCTGAAGAGAACCCAGAGATGAGGTATAATTCTATTTTACTCACAGCTTTGCTGCTCTGGGCCTTCTCTGAATTGAGGCACATCTGTGTTCCAATACTGATGGTAATTGTTAGAACTGCTCCTTGGCCAAAGCTATGTGAAGATATGAAATTTGCACCTTTAACAGTCCTTTTCTTCCCTTTAAGCATTTCAGTGCTTAGGATCCTTACAATTCTTGGCTGTCCAGGATCCTCCACATGGACACTCTTCATGAAAGTCTTCAGTAATGAGAACTAGTCTTTGACCACATTTCAAAATGACTAGCTAGATAATCTAATTGATTAATGTATGATAATTATGTTAATGGATCCTATTCACTAGGATGGAATCATGGCTCCACTACTTTCTTGCCCTGGAGCAAGTTATTTAACTTTATTTTGCCTCAGTTTCCTCATTTATGAAATAGAGATAACAAAGGATATCTTACAGTGCTGTTATGAGAATTACACAAATTAATACATATAAAGCAATTAACATAGTGAAAAGGAAAATGGGAGGGGGGCTTTCAACCTAGATCAGTATCTGGTTAATACTCTAGTCTTACTTCCCCACTCTGACTGACTTGGGCAGAGCTGCAGGGACCCTCAGGGGCCCGCCACAGGAGGAGATATGGAGGCCAGAGCCTCCCCACAAGTTCAGCTCAGGCTTTGGATCCGGAATTCCCCTGGACTAGCAGACCTGCAAAGTAAAGGTTAAACTTTCCTCCCTTAGAGTGCTGGCGGATCTTTCTCCCTTGCATTCTCCCACAATAATACATGGCATATAGTAAGTGCTAAATAAATATTAGCTATTAATAATCATATTTTAGGAGGGAGTTTAGTGTTCAGTCAGGACTTCACAACTTATGGAAACCCTGTTACAGAGCGAGTCCCCAAGAGATGGACCACCGGAGCCAATTTGATTAAGCCAGCAAGAATTTATTACAGATTTGAATCCGGGCTTAAACCGTGGCTGACGCAGCAGCCGGCAAACACCCAGGTAAGAGCCCCGATGGAGGGGCAGTCCCTCCAGAGCGCTCACACAAAACCACAGACAAACATATACCTACCGCGGCCAGTCAGGCTCTCCGGATTGGAGTCCCTCATGGTCCTGGCTGGGAATCCCAGACGAATTCATGATCCCCAAGGACCACCAGGGAGCCGAGTCCGATGCAATAAAAGAGCCTTTTCCATGCTAGCATGGGCTGTCCCACTCACGCCGGCAGCATGGCGGAAGAGAGCGAATTTTGCCCAGTCCTGGGGTTTTACTCAGGTCGGTGGTGATGTCACTGCCTCGGCTAACCCTGATTGGCCCCTCAGGACAAAGAATTGGCCGTCCTTATCTGTTCCTAAATCCTAAAGACTAAATTCTAAAGACTGGGGACAGCCCGCAGGGTTGGTTCCCAGTCACACCCTGCTGGACATTGGAATGTGGCCCTATCTTGCCCATAATACAAAAGCAGAACTAAAGGTTATCTACAGTTTCTACCCCTGAAGCTACTGAGTCAGTGGGAGTCAATCTCGTGTAACTACTCTATTGTTTAAGCAAGTAATCGAAGGTCAAAGTCAGATAGCAAGGTTAAAATTCAAACAGCAGTTTTTACCCAAGTATGATTGCTACCATATTTCAAACCCCTTGGGAGTGATTTTGCTGGCCTTTATTTTAACACTCGGCCTGCTCCGTGAGGGGATTTTAGTGGTTACTCTGCAAAGTTATACAATGTGGAAAGAGCAATGAGAGAATATGTGTTCTTCCATGCTATCAGAGGTAAAGCTCTTTAATTAATATAAAACTAAAGAATCCCTTTGAGATGGGCAACTACTCTAAGAATATCTTGAAACCAACTAACTCAATCTATTTTCTAAAACCCTCATGTCTTTTGAGAAGTCTTTACAAAGGCTTTTCTCCCTGGTTTCTTTCAAGTGATGACTTTTGTCTTTCATTGGGTTGGGCCTGTGCCCTTTGACACACTTTAGCAGACAAAACTTGTTCCTGTGCTTGTCCTTATACATCTTTTTAAAAATTATTTTAATTTATAAATGGAAAACATTTGGAAGAAAAAATTGAAAGAACACAAAACATGTAGGCAATGTTTCTTTACTCCATGAGCTTCTCAAATCTTCACTGTTCACCAATCCCCAAGATGCAAACCCGTCCTCTAAAAAGATCTTCAGCCACCGACAATGATGTTATTAATAGGGATATGGATTCCTTTCACAAAAGAAGCCAATGAACCTCATTATAGCAAGTCTTATTGCTGTTGCCATGGCAATCTTCTGGAATTCTTTTCAATCAGGTCACTAGCCTCTGTGGCCCCCCTCCCCCTTTGGAAGCCACCCGTTGTCTTCACTAGCAGAGAGGTGTGCACAAGGAACCTGGAAGGCTGGCCAACCTTGAAGGCTCTGAAAAGTCAGTGCCAAGCACCCACTGTCTAGTTGAGACAAAGGGAGCTGAAGCAACTTCCACCTTTTAGTCATATGTAAATCCTTGCTGATGGGCTATCCTGGAGCTATCCTTGGAATCGCCTGCCTAAGGGCTATGGGTGTATCCCAAAACCTGAATAAAAGGGACTGCAAGGCCAGAGCAAACCAGAGTCCTTCCTCTTGAGCTGGGCTCCCTTCTGGCCCCCAATTACCAAATTTATATTTTCTTGTCTAGTCTCTCTCATTTGTGTGCAGCCTCCTCCAGAATCTGAACCCTGAACCACACAGGATGTGGGGGGGGGGCCCACTCGCACTCACCCCCTGACACACACACTTCCTTTCATTGGTCCTTTGCCTGTAGACCTCCTTATATATCTTAATGACAGATATTAAAAACCCCAGGATAAATGTATTATAACACAATGTAATATGCTGGAAGTCATTTTTCCTTTTCATAGGGATAATTTCAGTTACAGAAGTTGGTATTTTAATGTAAAACATTCAGACAAGTTTTTTAAATTGATTTTTAGAAAGAGAAACATTGATTTGTTGTTCCACTTATTTATGCATTTATTGATTGCTTCCTGTATGTGCCCTGACCAGGGATCAAACTGGCAACCTTGGTGTTTCAAGAGGATGATCTAACCAACCAAGCAAGGGAGAAGCAAGTTCTTAAGTCCTGTTATCTCTGCAATGATTTAGTGTCTAGATAAAATCGGCATCCTTTTAAAAACTTAACTTTTTTCTTCAGCTTTTTGCCTTTTTCATAATAAATGGGAAAAGTAACCTGTTGTGTGAAGAAGCCACAGACTGAAAGCAAAAAGGAAAGACAGGAAGCAGGGTACATAGTTTCATATCATAAAGCCAAGATAGGAGAGAGAGCAAATCCTGTTCATTATTGTCATTTCGTTACCACTGATACTTAAATGTGCCAGAGTAGAGGGTGATAATGCACACCTCGATCTATCTTCCTAATGAATGTCTGTTTAGTGAGACTTTAGCTGTCTACATGTGTTGGTCCAATTCTATTCTTCTGTTTTAAAACATTCACAGTTCTTATTTCTCTTCAATATTTTATATTTAGAAATTTTTTTATTGAGGCTTGCTCTCCCTCCCAGGAGCACGTCCATGCCTCCACCACCCCTTTCTTTCCCCACAGGCATGCACCTCCTAAACTCTAAGGGAACCCATGAAGCTTGCAACCGGGGCAGCAATGGGCAGCAACAGTTCATCCCAAGCAAACCCCTGAATGCGACCCCAAGGCCCCCTTTTTCTCTGAATTCTTAGTGGGCCAAATAAGACCAGCCTAGGCTCATTTTCTCAGCCCATCCTGGTTTCATTATCCCCAGCTTTAATAAACATCCTCTAAAATTACAATAAAATATATAATGAAATGTTAGCTTTATATGTTCTTTCCTCCCCTCCAAACTCAGACACTAGCTAACCCCTTTGACTTTTCTTGAGTGGCCACTTATCGCCTGAGCTATTTCTGTCATGAGCTTAAAAGCACTATGTATAAGTCATTCCCTATTTTCTTCTCACTCCCTTTCAATTCAAAATATATGCTGTCTTGGCAATACAGAATGATACATTTCAACAGAGCACATTTTTATGTTACAGAGTAGCAAATGTTCATGTCTTAAATATTGGCCAATTCTAGGTACTTCAGAATGGAGTTTATATAATGCATGCTCCAAATAAAAATATCATAGTATGTCATGAAGTTCACTTAATGGTATTATCTTCAAATAAATGTTTCCATCTATCCTGTTCCTGAGACCATTTTCAATTATAAAGTGTAAAGTAAAATTGAAATTGTCAAGTCCCATCAACAAGTGTTGATTAAGCATATCTCAGCTCTTTAAACCTACTATAGATTGTAATGCTGAGAACATATATTTCTTTCTTGATTTCTCTTTTTGTTATTGCCTTTCCATGTATCTTTGTGATTTATAATCTCTAAGCTATTGAGCTTATGAATACGGCTACTAAAATAACTACAATGTTCAACTAAATTGGGAGAAAAATCAAACTTTTTTCAAAATGACTTTCTGAAATAAATGGCCAAAATTTGAAAGTTAAGCAAAACCCTCTGTATTTCTAAACAATTTATTCTTTGACCATACAGAATAACTACTTAATCATTATAAAACTAAGAAGTACAGTAGGTACAATCGATCTGCATTATTTTCAGATTTTGTATTTGGAAATTTGCCTCCCTACTAAAATTTATTAGTAAATCATAATCCAAAGTCCACACTCTCTATGCATTTTTTGTCATTTGTGAACTTGCCCCATGGTGAGAAATTTGAGGAACCTATGTGAAGGTTCCCAGCTGAAACCAAATAGGAAAACATGTGGTCTTCTTTTTTCAGCACCTATACAATGTAATAAAGAAATTATCCATGAAAAAAAGGTAATTGAGAACCTTCAAACATTCTCTTTAAGCATTCTTAAAAACAAATTTGCTGATCAATGACATCTTTATTGTTTGGAAACAAAGAATCATCTTTATCAAAATAAATCTACCTAATTTCAGCACTCCTTTTATAGAGAAGTCCAAGGGCATATGACCCAGTGATCTTGGCATAGAAAGGTACTTTGTTAATTTATTTGTTTAGCTGATTATTTTGACAGTTTTAACTAAATCCCATTTAAAATACAGTTGATTATTGTTCTTCTGCAATTTTCTTTGGTGTTAGGTTTATCAAATTTTTTTTGGTGTACTTTTTAAAAAATATATATATATATATATTATTGATTTTTTACAGAGAGGAAGAGAGAGGGATAGAGAGTTAGAAACATTGATGAGAGAGAAACATCAATCAGCTGCCTCCTGCACACCCCCTACTGGGGATGTGCCTGCAACCAAGGTATGTGCCCTTGACCAGAATCAAACCCAGGACCCTTCAGTCTGCAGGTTGACGCTCTATCCACTGAGCCAAACCGTTTTCGACTTGGTGTACTTTTTGATGGTGACTTTTTCTGTGTTAAATGGATCCCAAGCATAGGGTGGAAGTGCTACCAAGTGTTTCTAAGCGACTTACAAAGAAAATGAATGTGTTAGATAGACATCATTCAGGTGGTGTTGGTTATGAATGTTATTAAATCTATAAAATATATTAAATTAGGTATATTTAAACATTAATACACATAAAGCAAGGTTATAGATTGACCTGGTTGATGAAGATGTTGTAACCAGAGGCTAACAGAAACCTAACTGTGATTTCCCCTAGGAACAATGGTTTATAAAAAACATAACTACCATTTTTAAAACATAACTACCACAGATAACAATAATCAAATGTATTTTAAACTGCAATTTATTTAGAAATGTCAAAAAGTCAGCTACACAAATAGATGAATAAATACCTTTCTATGCCAACATCAACTGGGGCATAGGCCCTTGGACTTCTCTAAAAAAAAAAAGGAGTACTGAAATTAAATTGATTTATTTTGATAAAGATAATTCCCTTTTCCCAATCAATAAAGATGTCTTTGATTAACAAATATATCCCTAAGAATGCTTAAAGAATACATTTGAAAATTCTAGTTACTTTTTTCCCCCCATGAATAATACCTTTATTACATTGTCAGCTGATTCAAATACATTGATACATCATCAGCTAGTTTTTTGCTTGGAACCAATACTTTGAGGTTCCTATACTGCTTTAGCTACTTTTTGGTATCTCAGCTAAAAATGCCTGTCTCAGTTCCACCTGGAACTCCACCACAGGTACTTGCTGCTGCTGAGATTGTCTCAGGAACAGTTGACATTCTTGGTTGCTTAAGGACGCTGTCCTACATTTGCCTTGGACTTGCACCTCTGGTACGTGGTTGTGTGTAGTCTGTCTCAGGAGTATGCAGTTCCTGGCCCGCTCCATCAAGTCCTGGCCACTCATTCCAAAGCATCAGACATCCCCAGTAGCCTCTCAGCTCTTCTTAGTTACCTTATAAAAAGTTACACAGCAACAGTGAACATGTGTGATCAGGATACCAACATAATTATTGCCAAGGTAAATAACCCCATAGAGCGAAACAGTTTAAAAGTCAGGTATCAGAGAGATTTTTCTCTTTGTCTAGCTTCCTAAAATGCATATAAGATACTGCATACCCATCCAGGTGTGGCTCAGTGGTTGAGCATTGACCCAAGAACCAAGAGGTCACAGGTCGGATTCCCAGTCAGGGCATATGCCTGGGTTGCAGGCTTGATCCCCAGTAGGAGGCGTGCAGGAGGCAGTGGATTGATGATTCTCATCATTGATGTTTCTATCTCTCTTTCTCTCTCCATTCCTCTCTGAAATCTATTTTTAAAATATTTTTAAAAAGATATTGTATAAGTTAAATGAGGCCAAATGAAAACATATGTAGGTGTGATTTTGTTGTGGGGTGAGGTGTTTGGTTGTCATTGGTTATTCTTTAAAGCCAATCCTGTCCCTTGGGATAGGAAATGCCTTAGATATAAGTACTACTCTTTTGCTTTGAACTCATTTATTCTGGCTAGCATTTCCATTCTTATAGTACCAAATTTGCAATCTATGGAAGTCTACAAAGTGTTTGACAAGTGACTAAATTACAAGTAAAGTAGTGTTCCATTCGTTTGCATTTTAAGTGCAATGATACACCCCAATTAAGAAGGGCTGTGAAAAGAACAACAGAACCACACTGATCAGTCTAAAGGCAAAGCACAATAAGTGTTGATTAATGTGAGATTTATTGACAGGTTATGAACCAAGGAGCCAAGAGGGTGGCCAGCTGGTCACTGCCAAATGTTTAAAGTGTTGCACCCTAATGATTTTCACTTTCCTCCAGCACATTTCCTGTATTCCCATTTTTAAGTCACAGCACTAATAGGTTTCCTACCAGTAATTTTTACCAACTCTTTAGCCATCAGAAGAGTTGCTTACTTGGCACTAATTCTAGGTATTTTCCCTAAATTTTTCTTGGTTTTATTTCTTCCCATTATGCCTTTTAAATAATAAATGTAATTAGTGGTTCCATAGGCTTAATATTTAAAGCACTTTTATACTTATTAAAAAGTCAGTCCTTACCACATCCATGAAAGTTAGGCTGACTCTGTTATATCATCTACCTGAGGCGCCTTCTTGAAAAAAACTTTATAAACTTCTTTTAATGAAAGAACATATTTTGTATATCCTCAACAGACCAGGGTATAAATCCTGAGGACTTAATCCATGTTTAACAAAAATGAGGACATGTGCTAAGAAACTACTGAACATATGCTACTTCAAACAAGGGATTGGTCTTATTTTATTCAGCTTGTATATATAATACATAACATATTTCCATACACACCTGGGCAATAGAAAGAAAATTGAATACTATGAGTAAGATAAGTGAAATATCTTCCCTCCTGGATTCCAAGTGATCATCTAATTAAGGCAAATTACCCTATCCAAGATTCGCTTATAATAGAAAAGGTAGCTTCTGAAAGGTTTAATGATACTGAATTGGTACCCTTTTGGACTAAATTACTTCTTCAGAGAACAAAATGGTTTTCCTGGAAGAGGTAATTTACCTTAAACATAGAAGCACTTTGCATCAAAGAAAGGGTAGCAATTTGCTTTGAGAACTCCATTTTTGAGTTACCTATCCCTCACACACACACACACACACACACACACACACACACACACACACACACACAAAGAACTGACCATGGCAAACCATTTATCCACTACTGGTTATGTATTTCAAAATATAGCCAGTGTTTGCTTCCTTAAAGCAGCTATAATGGGATGTTAAATCACTGAGGACAGGGATCTATCTGCTCTCCATGGGAAATGTAGACTGTGACCATTAAAATAGTAAGCTTGTAAAAGGTTTGACATTTTATGAGGCACAAATGAGGTGGAATGACTGGTAACCCTTCATAGATAAGTTCCATTTGGGGAACCACCCACCCCTTTAGTTGAATTCATTCTCTGACCCCCTTGAAAAACAGCAATAGTCCATATCCAGGTAATTCCCTTGGTTAGTCTTTTACAAAACAGTTGTTATGAATGTTCATGAAGAACCTCCCTTGCCCAGTCAGTGTGGCTCAGTGGTTGAGTGTCGACCTCTGAGCCAGGAGGTCAGGGTTTTATTCCTGATCAGAGCACATGCCGGGGTTGTGAGGCTTGATCCCCAGCGGGGAAAGTGCAAGAAGCAGCCAGTCAATGATTCTCTCTCATCATTGATGTTTGTATCTCTTTCCCTCTCCCTTCCTCTCTGAAATCAATAAAAATATATTTTAAAAAAGAACCTCCCTTAATTTCTTGTATTTTGTGTTGTAGATCAACCCTCTGCTCCAACCATTGTTTTAGATGTGATGTCTTTTGTACAAACTTTCTCAATTACTCTTATGCTGCGGATTTATGATTTGGACTTTATTCTTCACCTTGTACTTTAATGTTGCCCTTCTGCATCCCTATTTTATTATTTTTACTGCTGTGATTGTTTTAATTGTTGTTGTTCAGAAATGGAATTGTCAGGGGCCAGACAGCAGAGGATATTGCCTATATTGATTTCTTTACAGCTCAATATACTTGTATATAAGCACCGTATTCCTATTTTTGGTGTTCAATCCAAATCTGTTCAGGTTAGGCCTCCCTTGCTTTTTGTCTTTCCACCATGTTTCTAACCTGGCAAATCTTGATTCTTTGTGGTGTCTGTAATACAATAAAATAAAAACTAGTATCAGCTATGAATGTGGTCAATGTCCTTCAATCATTAATAATTATGTTAAACAAAAAGGGGTCTTTTCCTATGTATATGGTGTATCACTTCACTAAAGTCTTGCCCTCAATATTGTTAATTACTGAAACTATTGTTGCATTATTTTACATTTTCAAGCCACCTGATATTGTCAAAATGAACTTTCTTTATTTTCTTGGTCACTAGCAGGTGATTCAGCGGTAATTGTTTCTTTGTCAGACATTGGCAACCTAGTGTTGACCACAGTCTGAATTCTTTGGGCTGTTGATATTCAAAGTTCTCTCCTTATTCACTTCCTAACACACTCAATACCTCCCTTCAGCTGCACCATGAGCTTCAGTTCAAAGAGCTGTATTTAATTTATAGAACAATGTGATTTTGTTAGTTTCCAGGAGCCACACATTATATTGTATCTGTGATTTTTGCCACAGTTAATGGCATTTTTTACTTTGAGGACCACAATTTTGTAATCATGGCACTGCAACCCACATTTACTCTTAAAAAAAAAAAAAAGAGATAGAGAGTATACCTTTTTTGCTCCTTTTCTACCTTATAAATTTTCAAGAAAGCCTGCTAGATAACAAAGCCTGATTGCAACCTAATTTCATTATATATCAGACACATTGCCTTCTCCACTGGCTTGCATCGTTGAGATGGTAGAGCAATGCAAAAATCTGCCAGGCACATGTTTAATTCATTGGCTGACCTTTTAAAACGTAGTTTTTGTCATTAAGCTAAAAGTGATCCAAACCTTTAGATATACAGTACAACAATATTTAGACCTATAATAACTTCTCACATGGGTCCGTGGTTTAAAAGCATGGTTTGGGTCTTAAATAATAAATTGATTTCTCTCTCTTTTTGCTTTCAAGTCCCACTTTACTTTTTGCCCTCACTCCTGAGAGATGAGGCGAATTAACTCCTTACAAGTAAAGGGAGCCGGAGACTCTAGGAAAAGGGAAGCATTTTTTCCCCAAAATAACTTTTATTGATCGTGGATCTGAGGCACTAAACTGACCTTGATGAAGCGGGAATTGTCACAAGTTGTTCCTATAAACTCTCCTTCCGCCACCCACTGAGCTGCCCAGTACATGGTCAGCCTCAGAACACCATACAACTTTCCTGGGCTGTATTTTACGGAGACTAATTCTGGAACCATGACCTCCTTGAGAGTTGGGACCAGGACAACTACTCTCTGCATCCCCAAGGCCTAACACATGCCAGGGACGTGTGTGGTCTCACTGAATAAATGTCTGCATAGGGATCAGTTAAATAATTAATTGAATTTTAAATTTAGCTGATACTTTTGCATTTCTCTCCAATATTAAAACTACACTTAAGGATCAACAGAAGGGAAAGCCTCAGGATCACGCTGGCCTGAATTTTCCCAAAGTCTATACTGTCAAAACAGGAAAAGACATAATTCTCAGAATATTATGAGGCATTGTCTTAACATCAGTTAGTCCTATCTTTACTATGGCATTTCTAAGTAGAATATACTTTCATCAACATTGCCAATAAATTATTTGTAAAATTCCAGACTTCCACTCAATATACTATGGTCAATAGTTACTGAAAAACATTTACTATTGTTTATTAATACTGGCAGAAAAACAAAGATAAATAGATATACTAAAATTTATAATCATGCCTTCTTTTATGGGCTCTACATTTACCTGACAGTATCAATAAATATTCCTGTATAAGTACAATAATAACCAAGCTCATCAGAAAAAGATTTTTGAAACATCATCACATGGACAGGAAATGACAGACACATGTAAGTGAAAACTAACTTTATTAGAAAAATAATTGCACTGAATTCCTGTAATTGGATGGCTCTAAAAATCCCCACAGTTTCAATTACTCGAGGATTGTGATGGAATTTCACTTCGTGAAACTGTAGGAAGTTAACCAAATTATTTATTTCTTTTAAATGGTGGATAACATGAATAAAAAAAGTATTACTAGTATTACTATGTTATTTAAATCTAATTTTAAAACATAATTTACATGATGAAAATTGCTTTACTTCTTAATCAGAGTCACTCTGGTGGAACTGCTTTAATAAAAGGTTTTTTTTTTTATATGTATAATTTAGCTTTTCTATTAGAAAATGAATTTTTCTATCTCTAAATTACAAATTGGCTCACACTTTTAACCTTTT